GGACTACTAGACTCAGAAACAGTTTTTACCCCCGCACTATCAAACTATTAAACTCCCAGCCTCTCTCACTCTCACCTCACCTCTCACCTATGTACTGAACCTCACAGTGCCTTCTTTCTTACCAAAAACCCAAATACACATTGAAAATCTACCTCTACCATACATGTCAAAGGCTCACTCCCCATCATTTCTATCCCTTTATTTCATTCTGTGGATGCATGTTTTTGCACATAACCTGTTACCTTTTTGTTGTTTTGCACACTGCCTGTTGTCTCTGTCTTTCTTTTGTTATACAATTGTATTGTTGTTATTTTTTTTTCTTTGTTCTACTTATGTCTGAGAGCTAGCTAAATAGCTTTTCGTTATACCATATACCTGTATATGAGTATAATGACAATAAACTTGAACTTGAACTTGTAGGGTCACTTGCTTCGTTAAGTGCCTCGGGGCAACCGTGTTGTGAAAGGCGCTATATAAAAATACATTGAATTGCATTGTTGAGGGAAGCTCTGGTGGACACAGTGTTTAACAGTGGTCCAGGAAGGAGGAGGCAAACACTACGACAGAGGACTGCAAGGTGCAGAGATTCTTCAGAGGAGAGAGCGGGTGATGTCACACCTCTGGACACCTCTGTATATTGAAATGCCAGGGGGTTCATCATCATGAATGACCTGGGGTCATCACCATCGCTAGTTTCCTCTCTCACAAGCAGAAGGAGGAATGTTTCCGCAGATGCGATTTGTTTGCTGGTAGGAACTCGGCCTTTAATTCAGAAGACCTCTCTCCAGAGCTGCGAGACGCTGATGTTATCCGCCGTCCAGCGGAACACTGATCGCCTCGTTCAGCTGTTTCACAGGGTTCCCTTGGGGAAAAACGGGCACAAATACAATCAGCGGGTATTCAGGATGGACAAACAAAACGTGGTTCTAGATGTGCTGTGCTGCAGGGAGATTTAGACTTTTTAGGGTGTTAATGTAACAGCACATGGGGTATTCAGTTTAAGTGCCGCTTAATGCCCCCTCTGGTTTACACAATCTGGAATACTGAAGGTATCCTGTTCAACAGCTGGAGTAAGCTTCCCATTTTTAATACTACCACTAAACATTTCTTACATTTATATTGTGCTTTTCTGGACATTCCACCCAAAGTGCGTTACAGGTAATGGGGACTCCCCTCCACCACCACCACTAGTGTGCAGCCCCACCTGGATGATGCGACAGCAGCCATAGTGCACCAGTATGCTCACCACACACCAGCTCTCAGTGTGGAGAGCAAAGAGATGAAGCCAGTTCATAGATGGGGATTATTAGGAAGCCATGTTTGGTAAAGGCCAGGGAGATATTAGGCCAGGACACCAGGGTTAACATGCTACTCTTTTTGAGAAACAGATTTTTCTCAGAGAGAGTGGAGGGGATGTTAAATGACCACAGAGAGTCAGGACCTCAGTTTTATGTCTCATCCGAACGACAGCACCTTTTTAAAGTATAGTGTCCCTGTCACTATACTGGGGCATTAGGACCAACATACAGTAGACTGCACCCAGGTCTCCCATCAAGGTACTGGCCAGGCTCATACCTGCTGAGTTTCAGTGGACTGCAAGTTGTGAGTTTGCAGGGTAATATAGCTGCTGACCATAAGCTAAGCGTCCCTGGACATTCATGCCTCCATTTTCAGAGCAGGCAGACTGTGGAAACACATGAGGAACCTCTGGTAGTGTAGTCCTGCATAATTAAACCATACTAGGAACATCACTTGAGAAAACAGCGCAATGTCTAACTGGTTGAACTCTATATTCACTGGAAAAGCTGTGGCTAATCCACATATATCAAACAGATAATCAGTTCATTTCTGTGGCTCCAGTCGTTTTATTTATACCAGTACCATTCTTTTACAGACTGATTGTTGATTGCGTCGTTGCTACAATGTACAGAGCACCAAGAACTACTGAAAAACCTTAGTGACTTGATTAAATAAATTCCTCATTTGAAAGCGTTGCCTGAAGGATACTTTGCAAACACATAGTAGAGCCTTTCTTTGAGAGGTTTTTCTCAATTATTAAAGAATTTTCAATCTACATTGTGTGTGGATATACACAGTAATTATACACTATCTAGGTGTGCGTGCATTTTCACGTATTAACGGTGCATATTGATATTAATACATTTATTAATAATTACTTAATTCGAGTAATTTGTACTTGGCTCTTATTGAAAAAATTGAATATTTAGTCAATTAAATAAAACTTATAATTTACACTTCGTGAATCCACAAACCTACATTTCTGAGTATGGCGATACGGCTCAAATACGGAATACTGAATACTTCCAACAACCCTATTCACCACTAGACACGTCAGACATGGACTCCTTATGACTGAACAAATCCATTACAACTCTTCATCTCGTCGAAGAGACAATAAATCTGGGCAGACAAATCAGTCTGTTTCCTACTCATGAATTCCTTCTGTCCTTTCTTGCCTGTGATAATACCTGATGCTCACTAACCTCACCTTTCATCACAGTCCCACAGAAAGCACACGTCTGCTGGATTACGAATACGGAACTACAGGGCGCATGCGCTCATGTTCCTCACACAATCTTGAGCTCCTTACACATCCCGGCCATTTTCCTATCCCCGCCTCAAACTCCGTTCCACCTCGACCGGTGGGTACCACTATCCAATCAGAGACGTCAATATCTTCAGTAAGCGGCTTCTGATTGGTTAGCTTCCCCATCATTTATATTATGGTGGACACGTCAAGGTTAGTATTGCATCTGTTCTGTTGTAGTGCTTCGTCTGAGAGGCTGCATCTGCGATATTACGGAGATTAAAACTAGAATACCGGAAAACAGAGATTTCCCCAAAAAAAAACTCCTTCAAACAATTAGCTTTATTTTTTTCCGGCAAGCGTATTTTTAGACTTGTGCAGGAAACTCGCTTGGATACATTTGAAGATCAAAACATCGCTTGGCTGTCGTTCAAAGGATCTAAAGGTTGCAGACAGCGTGAAGGAAGTAAAACGCTGAAAATGCAGGGACATTTTCGACAATTCATCGTCTTCGGCGTTTTTCTGTAATCGAGACATTGTACAAAGGCTAGATTCATGCTCCTCGAGCAAAGATAAACTGCTGAGGTTGAGTTGCAGAAGTGTAATCTGAAACACCTAACACTGGGGAAAACTGGTCTGAGTAGGACAAGGTTAGCTCAACCAACGCACTGACGCAGAGTTGGCCGAATCATAAAAGTGAAATTCCATTATTGAACTAACCGTACTCACAGTTTTTCAGTCGGTAATGTCTTAAGTGTCTTCTTGAGTTTCATACCGAATGACGCGGAAGGTAGTTAAATGGCAGTTATTTTAATAGCCTTAAAGAGAACGAGCACAAATGCATCTGTGAGTCGGATTTAAAGATAGATCCCGCAGCACGCAAGGAGCGGTCTTTTGGAGTTGATGTGTAATTCGCGATGTCGTGTTTTGCGTCCGTGTAATCTGTCCTCTCAGCATTACTCCACAAACAGATGAAATTGAAACCGAAACAATATAATCTTCCGCACTCGAAAAGAGACGATTTCGTAAACGTTACTACGCAAAGACGCGCTGGTACAGGTGTAGTTAGTTCTTTTACCGTCGGTTCCGCATTAAGGTAGTCCAGTTTGGAAAGCTTTGTGTAAAACTTGAAAAAAACTATCGACCCCGAAGCCGTCAAACGATAGGCGGCGAATATCAGTTGGAATTCGGCGGTTAACCGCAACAGTAAATAGAAACAGTAAATTATCTCCAGCGGTCGCTGAAGCAGGTTCTCAATGGTGGGATTCGGTGCGAATCGGAGGGGCGGTCGCCTGCCGTCCTTCATCTTGATCGCCTTGTTGGTGATCATCCTCGTCCTCTCTTTCAACTACTGGACGGTGTCCAGCAAGCACACGCGCCTGCTGGACGAGCTGGCCGAGGTGCAGGCGCAGGTGAAGCGCACGGACGCCGCGCGCAGCCGCCTGGAGAAGCGGAACTCGGAGCTGATCGTGCAGGTGGACACTCACCGCAAGCAGATCGACCAGAAGGACGGCGACTATGTCACGCTGGAGAGCAAGCTGCAAGCCCTGGAGTCGCAGGCTAAGAAGTGCGCGGACGAGAAGGTACGGTACAGTACAGCACGGCACGGCACAGTACGGGCAACGCAAGCAGCGCGGTTTAACGTGAGATCTGTCCAGAATGACGTTTAACTGCTGTGGTAGCCGAGCCCAAAACAAACACCGCTCCCACCTGCCATCGCGCAAAGGTGCTCATGCCTCGCTGCTAGGAGTGTCCCTGCCCTCATCAGCCGGCGTGCGTTGGGAAACCATAGGCGCGTTTGACATCATCTGGGTGATCATTCTCCGACTGCTTTGGGAAAGTAGATCTGAACTAAATGCTTCTAGCACTGTGCTTTGCTTAATAACTGCCACTTGCTCTTTGGCGTAATTCTTCTTATTGTTTTGGTACGTGTACAGTAGCTGCATTTGTTCTGTCCAACGGCGAAACCTGTCAAGATCTACCAGGAGTTAGTAATTAAAGTGCTGAGCTGTACCTTACTTTACAACAGCATTCTTCTGAAAAATAACATCTCTTTTCTCGTGCGCTTGAATAACACACACTCTTTATTGCCCCTGATAGACTTCGTCACTCTTCTGTTTCTGCCTTGCACAGTTCAGAGTGTACTCTTGTGACGGCATTGGACCTGATCCGCTTCACCCTGATGCACACGATCCAGCTGGGTGATAGACCTGTAAAGACACAAAGGCTTTTTTTAGGCAAATGATTCACATGTTTGATTAAGTCAGAAGGATGCAGTACACTTTTCTCTGAGTGGTTGAATAGTGTGAAGTGCTGTGTTTTCTGGTGTAGCTGCTAACAGGTCTTCCTGCTTGTATCTGTCCAGTATGCCAGGCAGTGCTTTTAAGGGTTGTCATAGAACCTGAATCGCTCTTGTGCTCTCTAATGAGATTCAGAGCCCTGAAAGACAGGAGTAGATTAAGCTGTGCTGCTTGCCCTGTCAGTTTCCTTCCAGAGAGAGGGAACTCGCTGACATGCCTTGTTTCTAGATGGAATGAGATATCAGAACCACCATCGTAGAGAACGAACAAAAAAAAAGCATGAACTGCTTTTGGCGTTGATTGAAAGCCAAAAGAAGGGTTGAGGTAAGACAGTATCACTTGCTTATCTCCCAGTCGAGCCATTAAAGAGCCAAACTGGAAAATCGGGTGTTTTTTGAGTCATGTGTTTCGTGATTGTTCCAGTTAGTGATTATAAGATGCTTACATCGCAGCTACATTATGCTTATTATGCTGGATAGCTGGAGGAACCATTGCCCAGGCATTATAAATTCATGGCAGTAGGCGCCAGGTAGAGTTGGAGAGTTGCTAGTGTTTCAGTCCCTTTCAGGGTAGGTGGTTCATTGGTACTCTGTGACTTTAAGAATGTGACTCGGGTAGCGAGTCTTAGCTGAAAGAGAAATGGCTTTCCGAAACCTGTACATCGGAATGCTGCAGCTTACGGGCCTGTGTCCTGTATATGTATCCATTTTGCAGCCATGAATAAGGGTGTGGGGTTGTGTGCAGCTGAATCTCGGCTCATCCTTCTGTTGGATCATCCCTCCTCCTGCCTGCTGGTCAGCGCACCACTTTGCAGACTTCTTCCTCCCTCGTCCCCTTCAGAAGAACGGTTTGCTGCACGGGCAGATGTTTTTACAGCATCTGATCGGCATGTTGCCTGGGCTGTGAATGGGCAAAGGATTCATCATCCACAGAAGACACACTCTTATTTGAGCGGCCTGTTCCTGTTTTGCATTAGGAGATGTAGGTTGGGAAGCTCATCTAATTGTCCACTTTGTGAAACTCTAAGCAGGCAAAAGCCAATCTTTTTTTAAGACTCTAGTTAGGTCAGGGTTTAATATTTACAGTTGCAGTCTGTAGCAATGTCATGTTCTCTATTTTGAGATGGTGTGTGGAGAAATTCGACGTCTTGGCTACAGCAGCATTGGTGTCTTGTGGCCTAATTTCAGAGGCTGAGCAAGGCTAAGCCTGGACAGTACTGGGACAGAAGGCCTTGCAGGCAAGGCACAGATGCTGTTTTGAAATTGGGGACCTCAGTCATGGTTCTGGAGGGCCGTTGGGTTTGAAGATCTTTAGGGTTGCTTTAAAGCACCCATAGAGCTGGGACAACCTGCAAAACTTGTACAATGAGGCTGACACTGAGCTGCTTCCAGTGGTTACAAACACAGGAGGACTGAAACCTGTAGACAGGTCCTCCCAGATCAGGATTAGGGATCCATGCCATGAGCAGTTGATCAGTCACTGGCACTCTTCTCTGGATGAGTGCTGATTGGTCATCAAATACCCTCTTGGCACTGTGCAGAAGAATAGTGGTATTAACCTAAAGCCCCCCCATATTGAGTCATGTCTCATTTCTCTACCTGCTCTGCGGGCACAGAAGGGCTGCCAAGTGGTGCCCAGGTGGGGTGGTGCTTCAGTGGTGGGTGTTGCATGTTCTTATGTGCCAGCTGCTTTTGCATCTTTTAAGTATGAAAACCTCTATTTAAATGCAATCAATTATTATTAAGCCCTTTTTGTTAAGCTGTCGATAAGCACTGAGACAGTAATGATGATGAAACTGTCAGTGCGCATGTCCAGTCTGGCTCGGTGCAGAAATTGCTGCTTCAGAACACCAGCAGGAGGTGTAGTGGAATCTGTTCAAGAGTGTGGGTGGTCGCGTTCCTGTGCGCAGCAGTTGTGTGTTGCTCTTCTGATAGCGTCCTGCATGCAGGAACAAATGCACTGTTACTTCCAGCACTGAAACGCATCAACATTTCTACTTATTTTGCAGTTCTGTCCTATTTATTCCCTAATATGAATGTCCCTGTGGCATCCTGCAGAAGTTCACCTGCGTTAGTCTCATGACTGATGTAGATGGTGTACTGTATATACCGTATGTTTGCAGATGCTTTCATCCAGAGGCTAGGGGTTGCACTGGAAGTCAGCTGCTACTGTTGTAGGGCCACTGAGTTTTTCTAGCTCTTGAAACTGTAGCGGAGGTGTTGGCATCTGGTCAGTAACCTAACTCTTGCAGTCGGTTTGCAAATGTCCCCTTGGCCTGAACAGGATAGGACAGTGATGGATTGTATGCTTTAACTAGTGCTTTTTAAGCTGCAGACTTTCACAGGCCACCTCATTTTCACGTGCATCAGTGTGCTTTTCTTGGAAGAAGAAGCAAGCGACACTGAAGAAGGGCATCGCTTCATGAGTAGTTGCTTCATCCAGAAGTGTTTAATTTGTCTGTAGTCTCTAAAGCTGGTGATTGCAAGCCAGGCAGCTGGAGTATCTCTGCCTGCCTGTGGGACGGACAACACCAGCCATATTGAAACCAGGTTTCTTAAATCCAGCGTTGAAAATTGTGCTTTAGTACAGCTGATCATGACTCGAGTTCGTCTTTGCTCATTGCATGACACGTATTGTCTTCTCAATCCATGTGAGTTCCCTGCAAGTCTTTGGCACATCGTTATGTATACAGCCATAAAATTGTGCGTTGTACAGTTTTAATTTTTTTGAGGCGGTAGCAATGTGCCACAGTCCGGAGTGTTTTGATTTCCGCCAGCCCAGTCAGGGGCGTCTCCTGGCACCCTGCTCTCCTCTCTGGAGACCAGCATGGCCTGTGCACAAAGCACAGTGCACACCCGCCGACGCCTACTGCAGCCTGCGCTCAGCTTTGTATGGTTTCCATTACTTCACGGGGCTGGGCAGCCAGAGCTCTGTAGGAAAGGAGAAATCGCAGTGGTTTACTGCTGTAGCAGTGATTTAGGCAATGACCTCATCCTTAGATTTTACTATTAGGCCTTTGCTGCGATTTTCGCTTCAGATTCCGTGCAGAATATTAAAAAGATGAAGTCAGACCTGGCTTCTGCTGTCCGAGGGCCCATCTGTGAGGTCATTGCATCAGGAAGCCTCTCCTGAGGGGACAGTAAGGGGAGACCACAGGATTTGCATTTCTTTTTATGACCATTTCTCTTGCCTCTGTTGATCAGTAAATGGGCTCAGTGAACCCTGAAATGGCAAGCTTAGTCTTGTTCCTCTCCATTTTCCTAACGACTGTGATTTTTCCTCTTTTGTTCTTCGAAACAATCGGATATCCAAAGCCCTGATTTTCCGTAACTGGATCTCTGAAACCTTGTTGTCTAGCACATCGAGTTAATGGTACGGCAACGCAGCACCCTTCACAATTAGACGCATTGTGACCCTCGTGTCCTACCGTAAGGACTCCACCTGGTGTAGAAGAGCAGTAGGTGTGTTGAATACCGCTACTTGCAGTGTTTCATTCTTTCCATGCTCCTTGTACTTAAGGACACTCTCATCTCCGGTGCTTGTGTCAATTCAGGAGGTCAAAACAAGGATCCTTTTCATTTGTCAGGCTTCATTAGAGAGCCCCCAAGCCAGTGCGGCGCTACTACAGATATGTATTTTAACGAGTTCTTTGTCTGTGCAGCAGCTGCTCATTATCGGTACTTTTGTGTGAAGTACCAGCAGAAGAAAAGAGGGTTTTGCGTGTGCTGAGAGTAGAATCCGGGCAGTTATCCAGGCGGTGCCGACTAACCTCGGTGCTCTGACCTTGCAGTGATCTGGGAATCGGGTCGGCCCTGCCTGTCCAGCGGGACCGTGAAGGGACAGGGCTCCCGGAGGGACCGGGGTGGGCCAGCGTGGGGTCTTTCTGCTCGACGTTGGAGAGAGAAAATAGTGGCAAGCCTTTTGGTGAGGTGGGGGGGGAGACCTAGTTAAAACGGAGCGCTCTTTCTCTTGTGTTTTCTGTGGTGGCTGGTGTAGAGTGTGTTGAGACTGGTGCTCAGGGTCAGAAGAGGATTCTCAGGCTCTTCAAGGTGGATCCTTAAGCTTGACTTTGAATTCTGATCCATGTCGGCCTCTCTTGCCTCGCCCGTAACGGAGATAGTTGGCAACGATACCTTCCACTGATTCAAAGCACTTTTTAAAGCTGGTTAGGACAAGAAGAGACCTCTAATGGCCTCTAAAGGTGTTCCTTGTTTCTTTTCAAACAAGGTTTCTAATCCACTTTTTCATATACTGTAGATGAGAATGGTGGAAACGCTTCTAGA